TATATATATATTATAAATAAATAATATATATATATAAATAAATAAATAAATAAGGTGTATTAGAGAAATTTCTGGAGAGATCAGGCTAGTTGCTGCCAATATAACCTCTGGTTTCTACTGCTACAGTTTTGTTTTCTATTTTCTGTAAAGGAAGCAGAGGATCACAATGATGTTACATCAGGATCTGCAATTGTTGAATTTTAGCTGTAGCAAATGCATTTGCAAAACCTTTTATAAGGGAACAGCAAGACCCGTGCAATTATATGTAAGATTACTTACAAGCATAATCCGCAATTTGAGGTTTGGCATAAGAGATCTTAGTTAACAAAGAGGACTTTCCTGCATTTGGAAATCTAGAACAGTGGGAATTAAGAGAATTACTATTTAATATAACAGTAGAATTTTTACATACAATAGAACAAAGTCAGTGAATTGCAAATGAAGAAAATGTTGTTGTTGTTTTAACTAAAGTAAATATTGTCTAATAATGAGAGGAAATGTCTTAGGCATTGCGGTGATGGGGGAGAGAAAAAAGATTCAGTAATTCAGTAAGTAAACAAAATATATTTCCATGACTTCCCTTCTGCATTCCAAATATACAATTTTAAAAATTAATTTCAGAACAACAGGGAAAGGGTTGAAAGCTGTGGTTTTGTGCAAATTCTGCAAAGATTTTAGGTACACAGAAACAGGAAGTGAGCAGAAAGATTCTGGCATCTGGAGGTAAATGAACAGATGTAAGTCAGTTTGAAATAAAGCTAGAACTAGTAGCAATGTTTGTAGTACAATGGAAATTACTTCAATTACTGAGATTCTACAATATAATTTTCAGGATCAATAACTTACCCAATTAAGCCAACATCTGCAATAAGTTTTAGATCAAGATGTATTGTGTGAACTTGACCTTTGGTGGGGAAGAAATTTGTTACTGGACATCCACCAATACCTCCTTGTGCTACCAACAATCTTTCTCCTACTTTGTTAAGTTCACCTAAATATAAACATCAAAGATCAGGAAAAAAATTTTTTTTGCATCATTAGTGCAGAACATCATATTAAAAGACTTTTTTTTTTAACCTACTATATTGTTTAGGCAAGGATTTTTTAAATTCAGCAACATGGAAAATTTTATCAATCATACTATAAATTATTGATTTTCCCATCTCAGTTGGTGAACACATTGAATAGTAAATTTATAATACAAAAAGTTTCTATGAAAGAATGTACATTTCAAAGACCTATGAAAATATTCACATTAAATCTGAACAATCTGAGATTACCAGAAAATATCAGGAGTAAAGGCTAGACTAGTTTTTGCCAAGAGAACTACATGGTTGTATCCCTGCAGTAATCAGAACTGAGGCTCAACATGACAGTATCTCAGTTGTAACATTCCATTGAACAGAATATAAAATATAACTTCCAAATAAAGTCAGAAATAAATTAACAAATACATACTAGAGTGTCAAGGCTATTCCATTCCTCTGCTACAGCTGGCTTTGACCTCAAGCAATTCTCACCTAGTTACAACCTTTCCCATATATTTCCTGAACAGATTGTCCAAGAGGGTGTTATAAAAACTGTAATTTTAAGAGCAACGATGCCTGACTTTTTTTTTCTTCCCTTCCATTTTCTCCAATTTTTTTTACTTATATTTCATATCCTTTAGATTGCAAGCACCAATGCTTGCTCTATTAACTGTATCTGAAAGCTGTCTCAAAGCTGATTTTGCTGAAAAGCAGGATAAGAATGCTTTAAATAAATAAGAAAATTAAACAGCTTCTGAAAATTATCAATTTTTTACTGCCTCTAAATTTGGACAACGGTATATTCAGTTCTAATAGATGTATGAGATCTCTGCAATGGCAGTCAAATATTAGGTTTATGGTGTTACATTGGATCACTGGAAGGTAGACTAAGCCATTAGTTATTACTGCAGAAAAAACATATAACTAAGGTTAAGTCTTCAAGATATACTTGGAAGGTGGGGAGACATAACTTTACCCTGCAGTGTTAAAACAATATATTTCAGCATGAAGACAAATCAAACTAGGCACCCAAGCTGCTATTACGTTCAATATAGTAATAAAAGTAAAGTAACAGAGATTCTTACCAAGCTGTTTCCCATCATCTGTAATAACAGATATTCCTGGAGGCACATTTACTTCACAGTCTTCTCCTTTATTACCTTTCAGAGCGGCAATACTTGGGAGACCAAAAAATAAACATCACATGACTGTTTTCTAGGACAGGCATAAAAGGACCACAGGTATTCTCCATCAATGAAAAGAACTCACCTACTGTTGGTTCCTGCTTGTGCCACAAACCTCTTCTTCGGATATTTATCTTTCATTTTCTTCAAGGTCATTTTTTCATCTGCTACCAACCAGACATCACCACCTTTTCCTCCAACCCCACCTAAACGAGCATGGCCCATTCCACCAGTTCCACCTTTCACATAGATCCTTAGGTCATCCATAAATCTGCCATACTGGAAAAGTAATACATGACACAAGGGTACTTCAGACCCAGTAGAACATTGCAACACATTATGAAAAGTAAGAGATGTGCCAAGACAGAAATGGTCTATTGGTATGACTTTCTTCACCTTAAATAAAGCTCTTCACATTATCACATCAAGCCATAATATTTCTTGTTTGGTGTTGCATGAATACATATGTTGTGGTTTGTAAACTGTAGTTTAGCATGAACCCAACCAGTAAGGCCTTATTTGATAAACTATGGCTAAAGAAACCATGTCTTAATAAAATTTATGAATCCAACCACTATTTTGTCTTCACCAAAATAGTGAAGTGTTACCTTCAGAAACAGTGCTTTATTCTTCCCCACAGAAAATAAATAAAATTAGCACCTTAAAAGCCAGCAGAGGGCACACACTTTCTTGGATCAGAATCCATTTAATTAGATGAATGAAGCAGACTTTAGTTCTACAGAAAGCTATACCGTAATAAGTCCTATACAGCAAATTTCCTCTTCAGAAACTGTTTCCTGATGCTTTTTATAAACATCAACCAAGATAAATGTCCTGCCAGAAACTGACAGTACTAAGACTCACATCCCAACAACAGGCACAATTATAAAGAGGCATACATTTCCTATTTTTATAATTCAGTAGACAAAAATTGCTCTTCTTTAACTTAGCTCTTCATTGCTAAGATAGGCCTGGTTGGTCCAACACACTCATCATGAGGGATTTAAGCAATTTAAGCAAATTACCAATTTTCTAAGTTTACCCAGCACACTGAACCATAAACTAACCATAAGGGCTAAATTCATACGGCGCACTAGACAAAAAATATTGTGCACTGAGGCCAGTTTGTGCCTCAGAGTACTGTAGGAACATACCCTAAGACAGTGTTTCTTAAATTTTTTCCCCTCAGGACCCCTTTCCACTTTTAAAAATGATGGAGGACCCCAAAAGAGCTTCTGTTTATATGGGTTATATTGATCAATATTTACCATATTAAATATTAAAATCAACACATTCGCTGCCGCTACTGCTTTTCACAATTGTCTGATGGGATTTTAATATGGTATTATTTTTCAACATAGGCTGGCAAAGAATTTCGATTTCTCAGATCCCTTTCTTACCACACTGTAAGAAACACAGCCCTAAGAGAAGCGACTCCACTAAACCCTTCCCACCCTGCTTTTCCCTCCAGATCCAAAACCCCCGCCAGCGAGGGGAATGGCCAAGACGGTAGGAGCCGAAGGGCAGCACGGAGAGACCACATCAAGTTGGGAAAAAGTTCAGCGGTCTGGACTGGCCCTGGTCACCCAAGGTCACCCCTCCTCTTTCTCCCAGGGAAACAAGCTATGGGGAAAGAGGATCACCTTAAGGTCGCACTAACCTGCCTGACTAAGAGGGCGCGGCTGACCCACACCATACTAGCTGCCAGTAAGCCTAAGCAAGTCTGCCCGCCGCTTCCGCGAGGGCTCGGACGCCCAGCCCAGGAGGACGCAGGCTGATGACGTCAGGCGACCGCCCGCCCCGGCTTTGGGAGTCAGGGCGGAAGAGTTGGGAGAGCAGCTGGGGGTCGGGCAGGCGGCTTTGGTCATTTCAGCGGGACGTATCCAGGGTTAAAAGAGGCAGCAAGGGGCGCTTTGAGCGCCGTTGGCTTGGCGAGGATGTTTCTGAGATTGCGGGGGGCGAAGCAACACATTCCCCTTTCGACGTCAGTCCGACGGATCGATTCGCTGGGCTTGCAGCCCTCTCCATAGCTACGCCCCTCCCCGGTCTGTGTAGGGGAACTCCCTCTGTGTGATGGTGGTCCAGGATGCGCCGGTGCATCGAATGGGGAGCGTTGACCTTTTCCAGAAACTGACGAAGAGTTCATGTTTCTCGCTAAGGCTCCATGGTTTGTTGAATCACGGATCGGAAAACACGCTCGGGAAGACTGAATGAGTCTCTTCCTCTCGTAGCATCTTAAATTGTAAAAATCACAGCATGTTAGTGGCTGTACCCGTGTGACACCCTATACTCGAAATTAAGCACATGCGTTTTTACCTAGTGTGTTGTCTGAGGAAAGCCAACGCGGGTAGCTGAGGCTTCAGCCTTGCATGCAGCGCCCGGATCTTAGGCTAACTGTACTGCAAAAACCATGGGGAGTGTGTCCTGTGAGCAAAGCCCACAAGGGTTAGAGTTCACCGCATCTACTGTGCCACACCTTCATTATGTATACACAAGGGTGTGAAAGGGGAGGAAATGCATGCAGTGAAGATAGCAGGAATAATATGCCAAAAGTACAGATTGCAACAATTATAAAAGCTTAAATATATAGGTGCAGTAACATTTCACACTGTTGCTGTTTGTGTGATTACACATTTTGGTTTGCATTTAGTCACCATTTTGTCTAGATGGCTGAAGTCCCACTGAAGACTATTATGTGCGTAAAGGTGTCCCCAACTGGGTGTCCTGTAAGCAAGTCAGATAATGAGAACGGAGGCCCTGAGTTTGGGCAAAGCAGGTTCATAGGGTTGTAAATACATGCCACTGTTAACTGTAGGACTCCCAATGAGAATAAATGCCAGGAGTTTCTCTGATTGTACTAACAGTATTTTTACTTGCCATAAACATCCTTGAAGACAGGGATGTCTATGTTTAAGAACTGAGGCTTCTTCCTTTTCTTTAGTGGTCTTTCTCCATTGCTCTGTCCTTTTTTCTTGGCACTCAAAACAATGGCCATCCAGCCATCACAGACCCAAGCACCAGCTGCCTCCCAACAAAGCTTTTCCATCTGGGAATCCTCTGCAGAGTCACTCACCAAATATAATTAAAGGGAACTGTGCCCCTTACACAAGGGCATTACTTCTCATTTCCCCAAAGACTTATTGAAGTTATTCTCTTAAATATTTTTCCTCCTCCTCTGAAAACCTGAAGGCTAAAGCCCACCAAGATTTTAATTTCCTCTTACTTTATCATAAAGAAACTGAAGTCACTATAGCTGGCAATCCAGAACACGTGCTTAACTCTTACGCTTGGCACTACCTTTAAGGTGTGAGAAGGAAATCAAATTCTTCTCCCCATGTCAGCAGGAAGTCAAAGCTTCCCATTTGTCTCACCCTGCCATTGTTTATCTTAACAGCAATCAAGGCATATGACTAAACTATAGTAAAAATTTTTGTTGTTGTTCAGTCGTTAAGTCGTGTACGACTCTTCGTGACCCCATGAACCATATTGCGCCAGGCCTTCCT